AATTTTTTTGGAGCTTTATCATGAAAGAAAAAATTAAAACATAAAATATTTGCACTATGCAACAAAGTTTAGCAAAATAATAGCATAGCTGACTAATTGATATAATTAGCATGCCAAAAATTTCTATAAAAATAAACCAAAAATATTTTCAAGAATTAAGCTCAAAAAACAACTCAAAATAATTTTAATACATGTTTTAGATAGAATAAAATTAGAAAATAAAATTCTAAAACTTAAAAGATGATTAAAACACCTAATTAACTAAGTGAATTATTTCATCACGCAAAAATGATAAAAATATGAAATAAAATTCATAATTTGAAAATAGACTAAAAATATTGTCTATAATATTTTTGTGATAATTTTTAAATCTAGAAAAATATAAAAACAAAATTAAAAATATTAATTGAAAATGAATGAAAATTCAAATAGATTAAATTTATTACACATGTTTTATGAAAGAAATGCTGCAAAAAGCATTATGCATGCACGAATTAAAACGCGTCACCTCATCGTCCCTTACTTAGAGGTAAAAACTCTAATGTTTTTTAGTTTTAACAAGCAATGTCCAGGTCACGATTTCTCCCTCATTTCTCCATGAATTTGCAAAATGTAAACATTGAACCTCGAGATCTAAATGAGTAGAACATGATAGGATGAAGAAAATCATAAAATGATGCATGGATCATAAATAAAAATCCATGCGAAAATCACTGCATGAACACAATTTCCAATTTTCAAAACTAAGAACTAGATTTCAGATTCAATTATCTCATTCATTTCTTAACCAAATCGTTTGATCCAAACATAAAAATTCATCAAAAATGTGCAAGGAACAACGAGGTAATCATAGATTTCACAAATTATTCAAGATCAGGTAGAGATTTGAGCATGAAGACATGAATTCAATCAAGGTTTAGATCAATTTGCAGAGCACGATTTACAACTCAAAACACACATAGATATACATCAGATCTAAGATCTAGCCAGCTAAACCAAAATGCACATGATCTTCAACAAGAATGCAAGATGAATCGTGAATTTGAGTTTGATGATGCTTACCTTAAGGAGTGAAAAATAAATTCACTCTTTGCCTCTAATTTGAGATAGAAACCTGATGCAGCTTCTCCTTGAGCTTCAACAGAGATGAATTGATGAAGAATATGTAGCTTGAAGCAAGAGATAAGAGAGAGCTCGAAAAATGTTGAAGAATGAAGAGAAAATTTGAAGTTTGTTGTGAGTGAATGAGGAAGCGTGTATGAAGAAGCTCTGAATAAAGTGTGTAGCTTCTTATATAGAGTGAGGAAGAGGGTTGAGGAAGTTTGATTTTGAGGGCATGGCCATCATTTTTATGCTTGGAGCCGTTAGAGGGCAATGTTGGAAGTTTCTGACAGATTTGAGTCAAGTAATGCAAGCCTGCGTTTCATGCCTTATTGCTAATCATTTGTGTGCATTTTGATGAGTGAAATATGATAGGAATTAAGTGAGATAAGCCTGAGAAGGATGAGCTGGCATAGACTGCACATGGATAGGAGGGAAGTAGAGGAATATACATGTATATGTTTTGCTTGATTTAGAAAAGAATAATGATGAGATTATGATACATTATGTGTGCATGGGGTGTATGATAACAATTACACAGTAGAAATTTCTCCCATGCATATGTCATGCTTATCTGTTACCTTGCCTTGCCATGCACACTTGTACATAATTCATTTTTTAACCAAACCCTCAGAATTTACCCGTGCGTTTTTGAAGGAGATGAGGCCTTTGGAAATCCATGATGATGTGTTTAAATATTGATGTTGAAGACCATTCAAAAAGATTCTTGTAATATGTTCAAACCCTAGAACAAAAAAAATGAGGTATGGCCTGTCCAGGCCTCCTACGCGTGCGAGACAAATATTCTAGCCAGAAAAATAGCATTTCATGCCCTTATGTTCATTCCATCATAACTCTCACCATAATGCTCAGAATGAAAAAACCTTTAAACCAAAATTGAATTGGACACAAAGATCTGCAACTTTGATGTTCAATTTTTTTTGAAATTATGATTAATTAACCAAGAAAAATGATGGTGAATGTGTGCCCACCATGTTTTGATGAAATTCCCCGTGCGAGACCTCTTTAGTTGGGCACATTTTCCTTCTCAAGCCCTGTTGTCCTAATTATAATATCTATATCAATACTAAACTAAATGAATTGGTGCTTGTATCAAAAATGTGTAAGAGATTTCAAACTAAAATTTTAATGGTGACAATTTTTAAAATTGAAGCTTTTTGACATCTCAAAAATGGACATGAAGAAAATGAACCCTTGGCATACTTTTGAGAAATTTACTGAGTGCCAAAATTCTTCCAGCTAGATAAATTTTTCTTCTTTCACCTTTTGGTCTTGAACCCTCAAGGACAAAGTTGAAGAACTTTTTATCCTCATTCATACCATGTAAAATTTGTATTTTTTCAATAAAAAATGAAGAAGTTGTGAATTTTCAAAGTTTAGTACTATGAATTTCCACACTTAGAAACTATTAAAATGTTAAAATGAATTCTTTGAAAAGTTATCTTCAAATTTAAAAACTCTCTTGATTTTCTTTCATAAATGACCATACAACATAAAAATGTGGATGTTGAATTGCATGTTGACCAAAAACACCATTGGCCACAGTTGACTTTTGTTGACTTTTGCTCAAATGATTATTTTACCCCCAATTGATCAATTAAACCACTTCCAATCAAAATTTATGTTCAATCCTTCAATCATAGGTGTTCATAAACATGTAGAGAATAATGGAATCAAATTTAGGTCAAAGAGCTAAAGAAACCCTTATTAAAATCAAAACCCTAATTTTAGCCCTTTTTGTTAGGAGATGATGACCAAGCTTCAAAACCCTAACTCTTTGGGACATGTTGAGAAATTCCTTGAGCATAGATTCTTCATATGATGATGACAAGATGAAACTTCAAAAATTTGGCTCATACAAGTCTCAAATACTTCATCTGGACAAAACCCTAATTTGAGGGATGATCATTAGAAATGTGATTCACTTCAAAACATTGCAAATCATCAATATTCTAATGACACAATGAGACAAATGATATGTCTTGGGGTATGAGAAACTCTTTTAGCTTGTGAGACTCAAATATTGAGAGTATGAGACCCTTCTTTTCCTAATTGTCAATACAATCAACTTTCGATAACTTGCAGAGGAACTTGGGAATCAAAATACCTTGATCCTATCATAAGAATGCATGAGTATGCATGATGAAACACAAGCCATGTAAGGTAAATGAAAACGGGAAATTTTTAGGTGCAACAACACAACAAAAAAATCACATCATAATAGGCAACATATATACCAGTTCATAATATCACAACATCAATATATCACCAATTTCATCACAATCATCATGTTGTTAAATTCATCATAAAACTCCAAACAACCCACATACATATAAACCCTATATGAATCATAATAATAAGGATAACCCCCCTTACCTTAGATTATAGCTAGAAATCAAATCTTTTCCGCACTCTACAAAATCTCTCTGAGTTCCTGTGCCTTAGCTCTTGTTCACCACTTCTTCCCAACTTTCACGATTGCACGGAATGGACGTTCTAAACTCCAAATTTTCCTTTATATCAAACTTACCCCCTTGGACCCCTAATATGTTCTTTCTATATTACTCTCACTTATCACTTCACTAATCACCACCTTGTCCTTAACACTTATACACAATATAATATCTAGATTTCACTAATTAAAATAAGTCAAAATAATTATTCTAATTATCTAAAATTATTAAAACACCCAATATCACTTAATTTCCATTATACCACCCATAGCACCACATCACACATCATATTAATCAAAGCATCAGATATACTCACAAATACTCATAATAAATCAATTAAATAGTAAAATAAATAATTGAATTTTTTTGGGGTGTTACATCAACCATCACAACTCTGGAAGAAGAAGTGGTCTTACTATACTCCAAACGTGAAAATATGAAAAATTATATGCATATGTTAATCAAAGGTTCAAACATGCTAGATGAAATAGTAGAGTTTGGAAAGATGTCTATAAATTAGAAAGGAATAGGTTTTGAATCCAATATGACCAAGAAAAACAAAATCCTCTCTAAGAAGTTTGTTCCTCCCGAGAAAAAACATAGTTTCCTATGTTAGACCACATATCCCAACATCGAGCTCAACATGTGTTCTCTCATCATAAAAACCATAATAACTTGTCTTGTAGATGTATTCATTATGATTGATTTAGACATATAAGGCTTTATTGATACAAACTATATGGCTATCCTCAGTCCTATAATAAACCAAGACTAAAGAGAAAAGATGGAAATAAGGTTCAATGAAAGAAGGAGTGGAAGCCCAAAGCAGCAGTCAGGAACTTCATAACTCATAGATCATCCTCAATAGATGATTGGTAACTGGATAATGGATATTTAGGACCCATGATTGGTGAAAAAATGTATCCTAAAGAATTGAAGCTCTACACTAACAGTTATGGTGGAACCATAGGATGAATCAAGGGAATAAGAAAATTGGTGAGTCTAGGTGTTCCTTAGCCTCATGATGTATTGGTGGTAGAAGGATTATCTACTATATTGATTAGTAAGAGTCAACTATGTGATCAAGATCTAAATTGTAGTATCAATACAGAGTGTCAAGTTGAGAAGCAAGCCAGGATTCCCTACAACATGTTTCAACATCTTACTCATTATTCATAATTACCTTATATGGACTATATGAAAATCAAACAAGGCATTGTCAAAGAAGGTAAGACTGATGGTATGGATGGAGGTCCTTTAAACACTAAACAACCAATATTGGTTCAGAAGAAGAAGCAAAAGAAAAATGGTAATTATGGATTGATTTGGGTTCCTTCTCATATCTCAAAAGTTTTGATAAACCAAAAATAGAATAGTATGGTTCATATTGATGTTCATCTAAGTTAGTGGAACCTTTGGCATGAGATGTGGACTCTCTGCATTATTTCATATTATGACAAGACTGATCTTGATATTGGTGGAATTATAATGGATGACCCACTTCTGGATGAGCCTATAAGAAATCTTTATCTAATTCAAAAAGATTTTGGTGAAGAGACCCAGGAAACCACTATGGGAAGTCAAGATTATAATAAAGATGTGTTAGACATCTCCTTCGACATGTTGATCGAGTATCAAATGTGTAAGGAGAATGATAATCATATCCATGAATATGTTGAGGTTAGTATTGTCATAACCAATGGTGGTGTTTATGAAAACCATGTTCATGTAGTAGAAGATGAGGAGACATTGTGTGAAGATGTGTTATATGTTGAAGAAGATGAAGGGTTGTATGATGGTAAAAATCTTGATCATATTGCCCACTTTGAAACTATCAGATTGATACCAAGACTACTATGTATTCTGAATTTCAAATTTTATCAGATGGATGTAGAAAGTTCCTTCCTCAATAGGTACTTAAAGGTGGAGGTCAGTCAAGTTGTTAGTAAACGTGTCACTAACAAGGATGGTGTCTTCGGGAAGGATTACTTTGTGGAGGTCATTATGGATTATACTATTGATATTAAAAAATTAGAGAATATCAAAATATAAGACAATGAGAATATGATGTTAGTTCATATTTACACTGAAGACAACTTGTCGTGTAGGATGTCAATTAAGATATTAAAGCATTTTGTTCAACAAATGGAGTTTGACTTTGAGTTGACCATGGTAGAAGATGTTAGCTACCTTCTTGATTTTCAAGTCAAGTAAATAAAGGAGTTAATCTCTGATTTAAAAGATAGGCATGTTGGAATTAGTTGCAATCAACTATTGTGGAGTAAAAATATGCTCAAAGACGTCATGGGAAATGGAAATGAAGATATCAACCAGGATGTGCCAGACAACATTTGTAAAATCTTAGTAAAATAGTTTCCAACTTAGAGGAAAGGTGATCAAGATGTGCTTTCCAATTCTAAAATAAATTGAAGGCTTGTCCAAACTTGTGAATTTAAGACAGGTGTTGAAGCAACTGTTTAGAACATTATTTCCACCTTAAGGACAAAGGTTAAAGAGAAGAGGATACATCTGGATGTCACCTATGCTCCCATGGATAACATTTCATTCCCTTCTGAAACAAGTGTACAAAATTTGAAATTTGTTCTTCAAAGAAGGTTTGAAGATGAAAGGGATCTAGGAAAAGATACTTTTGATTGCAAAGAAATCATGAAAGTTTTTGGGATAATGAAGATTGTTGGTGATGATGATCCTAGCAATGAAAGGTTGCTTAAAAATTTGAGCAAACTGTATGATAGAGGAGAGTATGTAAAACTTTCACCCTGAATGTTTAATTGATTGGGCGGGAGCAAGGTTCCCTCTATTGATAAATATATGACTAAGGGAATTGAGGAAAGAGAAGAAACTGCATATAAGGATGCAAAATCACTCTTTTTGAAGTAATGGTGTTGAAGATGATACTGAAGCTTAATTATCAAAGTTGGTGAAGAAGTTTGAGGTTAAGGATAATGGTATTTCTCTTGGGTTACTTAGGATCAATTACAAGTTGAATGTTAGAAAAGAAGTCTCAGATATTGTGTCCAACATTTATGTACCAGGTGATGAATCTCATTTTGTTAATTTATTGTGTATGGTAGTATGATATGACTACTGACTCTACTCATTGTGTTGTATGGAATTAGTTTATGTTGTTGTCTCTAGTAGGGATGGTTATACCTGGTGTGTTGGGTACTCACTATTCTAATATTGTGTCCAGTCACATGTTATAGCTTCTAGCATGACACTTGGCGTTAAGAATATGTTCCATGGAGCATTGGCTAGTGTATAACAACCTTTAAGTATTCTGACCCTTCTACTTATTTGTGCAGTTACTATGGCCACTAGTCTAAATTCTAAAAAGCTGACTGTTCTTTCCATGACATTGCAAAATTATGGAAAAAGAGAGGGAGTAATGGAATGTGAGACAAGATCCAAGATGTTTAACATGTTCCAACAAACAGATGGTTTTATAGTATCAGTTCTATTTTTATCTATCTAAGATTCACTCTACAAATAAGATCTACAGATTCATGATGAAGAGTTAATTTTGATGTTCTTATGTGAGATGTGGAACTCGATGTTCCAGCATGTGCATTGAAACATTTAGCCCTGACAACAGGATGTATAGATGTTCTTTGGTGAGAAATTTAAAATTTGGGATTTAATCTGATTTGATGTGTTATGCCTAATACATGGTTTTATGAAGAGTGATGAATTCATATTGGTGTATGAATGTTTTACATTGTTTATGATTATATATTTTTATAATGATATGAATTGTCACCCTTCTGTTGGAATGATGTTTTGTACGATATCCCTCAGGTACCAGAGATAACGGTGCTTCTTTCCAGGATTAGAGGAGGAGCTAGACCCTTAGTTATCTGCTTATTCCTAGGTATGAGTCATTTCTTTGGTCTATGTAACACGTGGGATATTCGAACTCATGTTTTGATTTGTTTTGAGAGATATTTGTTATTACTCTCTTTTATTTTGATATGCATGAGATTATGTGATGTTTGGCATCAGTTCCTAGTACTTATGATATTATTGTCAGTATGGGATTTCAATCATTTATATCTTTATGTTGAGATAATTATTCTGCTGCGAGCTGCATAATTTTGTATTGGCGTATGAAACATGAATTTGAATACGTGTTATGATCATGACCAGTATGCATGTTTGATTTCTTTATCGTTTTATGAAGTCAATTGTGACACCCTCTTTTAGATGTATGCTAATTTACTCTGATTATGCTATTTATGTCTATGTGGGGTTAGAGGGTGTTACATTAGTGGTATCATAGCCTGGTTGGTCTGTTCGGCCGGGTTTTCTAATATTGTTTGTTCCTTAGTACGTGACATGTGTGTGAAACATTGTCGGTACTTGCTTGTTTTTCTAGCTACTTGGTTGCAAGAGTGGGTTTAAAACAAGTAGGGGTGAGCTTTTCTTCCTTGAGATGTTTATGGTGTGATGAATTGGACCATGGTTCTTTAGGTGTCTTTAAGCACAAGAGAAACACTATTATATTTTGGTAATGATAGTTTATGCTCTATTATAGTTGCCGGCTACCTATTGAAAAATTGAGAAATTCGTCACCCTTAATCTATTGTTGACAGTAGATGAGATCGTATTGAATGGGATAGGTTTGTCTTGATATCTTGATAGTATGTAAAGTGAATGAGTTTGTGCAAGATGGTGTTGTTTTCTTTGTTGGCAACTTTGAATCTCTATGACAAGTGAACTATGGGTCAGTTGCATGTTGTCTGTAATTTTCCTGATGTGTTTCCTGAAGATGTAAGTGATTTGTGGCCAGAGTGTGAGGTGGAGTTTAAGATCATTTTAATTCCTGGAACTAGTTCTGTTTCTATGGCTCCATATTAGATGTCAGCTTCTGATTTGAAAGAGTTAAAGAGTCAACTTGAGGATTTACTTGAGAATAAGTTTATTCGTCTGAGTGTGTCGCCATTGGGTGCACCTGTTTTGTTGGTTAAGAAGAAAGGAGGTTCTATGAAGTTGTGTGTTGATTATAGACAACTGAACAAGGTGACTATTAAAAACAAGTATCCACTTTCGAGGATTTATGATTTGATGGATCAATTAGTTGGTGCATGTTTGTTCAATAAGATTGATCTGAGGTCTGGGTATCATCAGATTCGTATGAAAGATGAAGATAATTAGAAGACTTCTTTTAGAATGAGGTATGGCCATTATGAGTATTATGTGATGTCGTTCGGTGTGACCAATTCACCTGGCGTGTTTATAGAATACATGAATAGAATTTTTCATTAGTATTTGGATCAGTTTGTTGTTGTGTTGATTGGTGATATTTTGATCTATTCAAAGAGTGAGGAGGATCATGTTGAGCATTTGAGGATTGTGTTATATGTGTTGAAGGATAAGCAGTTGTATGCAAAAATTTCTAAGTGTGAGTTTTGGTTGAAGGAAGTAAGTTTCCTTGGTCATGCGATATCAAGGGGTGGTATCTCTATTGATCCATCAAAGATTGAGGTTGTATCTCAATGGGAAGCTCTGAAATTTATTTCTAATATTAGAAGTTTTCTTGGCATGGATGGTTATAATCGGAAGTTTATTGAAGGTTTTTCCAAGTTGGTGTTACCTTTGACGCAGTTGACTGGGAAGGGTCAAGCTTTTATTTGGACTTCACAGTGTAAATCTAATTTTCAAGAGCTTAAGAGAAGGTTGACAACCACTTCTATTTTGAATTTTCCTAATTCGGCCTAACCACTTGTGGAGTATTGTGATGCTTCATTGATGGGTTTATGAGGTGTGGTGATGCATAATTGACCAGTGGTAGCTTATGCTTTAAGGAAACTTAAATTTCATGAGAGGAATTATCTAACGCATCATTTAGAGTTAGCTACAGTTGTGTTTTTCTTGAAACTTTGGAGGCATTATTTTTTTGGATCGAGGTTTGATGTGTTAAGTGATCGCAAGAGTTTGAAATATCTGTTTCATCAGAAATAGTTGAATATGGGGAAAAGAGGATGGTTGGAATTCTTGAAGGACTATGACTTTGGTTTGAACTACCATCCAGGAATAGGGAATGTTGTAGTTGATGCTTTGAGTAGGAAGTCCTTGCATATGTCGGTGTTGATGGTGCAAGAGTTGGATTTACTGGAGAAATTTCGAGATTTGAGTTTAGTTTGTGAAGATACTTCTTCTGGTGTTAAGCTTGGTATGTTGAAGCTTACTAGTGGTATTCTTAATGAGATTCGAGAAGGTCAAAAATATGATTAGGTTTTGGTGGATAAATTGACGTTCATCAATCAAGGACGAGGTGGCAATTTTCGGATTGATGAGAATGGTATTATGAGATGTCGTGTTAGATTTTTTGTTCCAGATTTTGGTTGATTTGAAGAGGCGTATTCTTAAGGAAGGGCATCGTATTGGATTGAGTATTCATCCTGGAGCTACTAAGATGTACCAAGATTTGAGAAAATTATTTTGGTGGTCTGGTATGAAGAAAGATATTGCAGAGTTTGTGTATTCTTGTTTGGTCTGTCAGAAGTCTAAGATTGAACATCAGAAATTGTCCGGGTTATTGCAACCGTTATCCATTCTTGAGTGGAAGTGGGATAGAATTTCTATTGATTTTGTTTCGGGTATTCCGAGGACTCCGAGTAAATGTGATGTTGTCTGGGTTATTATGGATAAAATGACAAAATCTTCTCACTTTGTTTCGATTAGGATGGATTATTCGATGGAAAGGTTTGCTAAGTTGTTTATTGATAAGGTTGTGAGTTTGCATGATGTTCCATCGAGTATTGTTTCCGATAGAGATCTGAGGTTTAGTTTAAATTTTTGGAAAGGTTTGCAAGATGCTTTGGGTACGAAGTTGCGTTGAGTTTGGGGTATCATCCGCAAAAAGATGGTCAGACTGAGAGGATAATTCAGTCAATTAAGGATCTTCTGAGAGCTTGTGTTTTGGAGAAAGGAGGTGCTTGGGATAACTAATTTCCTTTGATTGAGTTTACTTATAACAACAGTTTCCATTTATGTATTGGAATGGCACCATTTGAGGCTTTCTATGGACGAATGTGTAGGACGCCTTTGTGTTGGTATGAATCAGGTGACAGTGTTGTGGTTGGACCTGAGATAGTTCAACAGACTATAGATAAGATCAATATGATTCAAGAAAAGATGAAGATTTCTCATATTCGTCAATAGAGTTATCATGATAAGAGGAGGAAGGCGCTTGAGTTTGAGAAAGATGGTCATGTATTTCTAAGGGTTACTCTGGTAACTGGTGTTGGTAGAGTTTTGAAGTCGCATAAGTTGACGCTGCATTTTATTGGTTCTTATCAGATTTTCGAGAAAGTAAGTGATGTGGCATATCAGATATCTTTTCCACCGTTACTTGTTAATCTTCATGATGTCTTCCATGTGTCTCAATTGAGGAAATATATTGTGGATCCGTCTCATGTTGTCCAATTAGATGATGTGCAAGTAAGAGATAATTTGACTATTGAGACATCACATATGCGGATAGAGGATAGTGAAGTGAAGAAACTCTAAGGTAAAGAGATCGCTTTGGTGAAAGTGGTTTGGCGAGGACCGAAAGATGATAATGTGACTTTGGAGTTGGACAGTCAGATGAAGGATTTGTATCTCGAGTTGTTTGTTTGAGGTAATTTTCAAGGACAAAAATCTTTTAAGTAGGGGAGAGTTGTAACACCCCGATTTTTATTTTCTATTATTTAATTATTTTATTAATTTTTACATTATATAGTAATTGATTTAACTGTGTGATTCGGTGAATATTTGAATTATTTGAATATATGTGTTATTTGAATAATTGGAGTTATAAGTAAGAATAGTAAATAATTATAATTGGGCTTTATGTCATAATAGAATGGATAAGATGAATTAGTACCATTAATGAAATAGAGTAGTAAGAAGAGGGATTAGAATTAGTGGTGCCATAAAAAAACAAAGAAGAGAAGAGGAGAGAAGAGGAGAAAGAGGATAAAAGAGGAAAAGTGAAGAGACAACCCTAAAGAATCTACACTCAAGGTAAGGATGAGAATCTATGTTATTATGAGAGTATATGATGGGTAGTAACATTTAATAGGATTGGGTATGTGATTTTTTGGGTTTTGAATCACCCAAATTGATTTAGGTATTTGGAAATTAGGTTTTTGAAATCTAGTTTTTATGATATAAATAGGTTCCATGTGATGTATACATGTTAGAATATGTTATTTGATGAAAAATGGGCACTAGAACATGTCTCAATGTGGACTTTCATGTATGGACAGAATGATGTTC